AAAAATAGAAAGCAATACCCTCTTATACATCTTTTGGTAGGGCTGATGCTGGGTAAAGAGGACCCCCTTCTTCTTCCTGATGAGGGGAAGCAACATCACTTCCTGCAGGAGATGTAAGGTCCTCTGGGTCCTGAAGGTTTCTGACTGCAGGAAGGGAACTCTTCCAGGCACACAATCACTTTTCTGTATATTAATTTTCACATAGGCAAACCTTCCCTTCAGAGGAATATGATAAAAGTGAAGTAGCAGAAGTGAGCAATGACATGAGATCAAATAAAGCTCTACTGCAGTTGTATGCAGAGAAGAGCAGGCTCCTCTTCGCCCAATTTTTTCCCTAAAAAATAATGGTTTATCTGCTTAATGTTATGGTGAACTCTAGGCTCAGGGCAAAAATGATCACTGTCTGTGTTGTACTATAACATTGGTTTGTTCAAGTTTTTATTGCTTCTCTGCTGACAAGAAAACACGTGGCAGAACTCCAGGATGAGCCAAGGTGTAATGCTTTATTTGTATCAAAATGTGAACGTTAAGAGTATATTCAACAAACAAATTTCTAATTACGATCCATTTATGTGCTAATATAGAGTAACTCTGCTATGGTAAAATAAAAATAACTGAATAAACATAACTTTTAATATTGCAAACAGATAGTGTGAGTGAGGCAGCTTGCGAATGACACACTGCATAACTAAGCTTGTAATTGTGATTCAACTGGATGAAAAAGAAAAAAAAAACCTGAAATAAGGATTTTTAAAACTTCCACTTCTTTACATTTAAAAGCAAATATATCTATACTTATTGTGAAGAAAGTGATGTTGAAGCTGAGAAAAGACGCCTGACACCTGCCCATGAATATTCAGCAACTAAATGAGATCCTGGCCACAGCCTACTGCTCTTTCTACTATAAAACAGCCTCTAAATCTTCATTCTCCTCCCCCAGGAGAACTAGTCTATGATTTCAAAAGACAGAGAGCAGGAAAAAATAACTTGTTTTCATAGCTTCAAGCTTAGATAGTTTTTACTTCAGCATTGGGATCTGAACTCAGGTTATTCCCTAAATGAAGGGCTGGAATTTCCTTATAGAAAACAATGGTACAGTAAGAAAGAAAGAGAAGCAAAGTTCTGAAATCCACTGATTGTTAGGTGTGCATCCTTGTGTGGGTGAGCCACTTATCTTCTCTGAGCCTTTAAAATGAAACCAATAGCACCTACCCCATTGTGCCGCTGAAGGAATTAAAGGAAAGTACACTAGCCCTTAGCCCAGGGTCTCAGAGAACAAGCACTCAAAAATGTTAGCAATTGTTATTCGTGATTTTTATGATTCAGTGGACTTTCATAAAAGCCTGATTAGTCCTGAAAACTAAGAGAAAACCTAAACCTGAAAGAAGAAATTTCCCTCAGCACTGACTGAGGGAAAGGGAAAAGAGTGAGCAATTTTCAAAACCAAGGAATCAAAAAACAGATTTCAATGGGAGTCTAGGGTTACAAAAAGAACACGACAGTCCCCCGTTCAGAGAGCTCTAGAAAAACATAAACAGACGACTATGCAGTTAGATGAAAACAGCTAAAGGAGTTTAGGGTTAGAGAAAGCATCCAAGTAGCCCTGAACATGAGTAGAAATTTAGCTAAAGGGAGCATGAAAATTCATAACTAATCGTTAACATCTATTGAGTCCTGTGTACTGAAGTACAATGCTAAGAGCGTTAAATGAGCTGGCTCATTTGATCCTCACAATTTCAAGACGTGTTAGAATCGAACCGACTTTTCAAATGAGAAAACTGAGCTTCACAGAAGAGAAATAATTAGCCCAAACTCACGCAACTGGTAAGTGGTAGAGTTAGGATTTGAACCCAGAGTACTGGCTTTGTAGTTGTATTTCACATTCAAATCGCAAGGAGTAGCAGGCAAGAGAGATCACAGGAATCCCAGGAACATCCAGCAACTCCTGCAAGTACTCAATGTTGCTAGAAGATGTCAAGATGAAACATGATAGGCAGCAAGGAGTCAGGCGATTCAGGTCTCCAAGGCCATATTAACGAGGGTTTTTTTCCAGTCCGCTCGAGGGCAGAAGTTAACCAAGATCGGATCAAATAAATCTGCTTTAGGAAGATTACTCTACCACCAGAAGAGGGCGAGAGAGAGAGAGGTGGGGCTAGGAGGGAACTGAAGTCAAGGCAAGTCAGGAGAGCGGCAAAGGGATGAAGTGCAGAATCTTACGCCAAACGTCAGGAAGCGAGCTGGACGCCGAGGGCTCCGAGGCTCCCCACGACCCCGGCTCCCCAGCCATGCCCACCCTGAGCTACAGAGGCCCCGCCCCCAGAAGGTCCTCGCCAAGCCCAGGTCCCGCCCCCGGCACCGCCCCCTGCCCGGTGCCCCGGGTCTCCCCAGTTCTCTCCCCTCACCTTGGCCATGCGGATCATGCGCTTGGCCACATCCAGATCGCCCTGGTGGTTCTGGCCGATCTCGGCAATAATGAAGCACGGGTGTCGCCCGCCTACCCAGCGGCCGGGACACAGCTCCAGCTCAAGGGGCATCGCGGCGACTGGCGACCCGTCACCACACCACCCGTTTCGCCGTAGCCGCTAACACTCGGGTATGATGGGCTAGCAGCTCAATGGGAGCCGCGCGCCGGCCCCGCCACGTCAGCCCGCGGCCGCCGTGCCACCAATCCCTGGGCCCCGCCTCGCTCCCATTAGCCAATCGGGAAAGGGGGAGGAGCCTCCCACGAGGAGGGTGAGGCGGCAGGACCCGGAAGTCCCTTAGCTTTCTGGTGGGCAGGACGAGGTGCTACCGGTCGAAAGACGTGGGCTCTGACGGCCACCTCTTCTCTGCGTGCGCCCTTGAACAATCTAAACCCTGCACCCAAGGGCGTGGAAAGACTGTGCCTACCGGTGCGATGGGAGAAACGGATTGTGCAGGTAGTTCGAGCCCGCCCCTTGCCACTAATCAGATCTTGATCATGAATACATTAGTCTTTCTAAATATTTACCTTTTTCGAAAGAGGAAGTTGTATAGAATCCACCTCGTAAGGTTCGTGGGATGATGTGTAGAAAACCTTCATCACGGTACTTGGCGTGTAATGAGCTTTTTCAATAAATGGTAGCCCTTCCCACTATGTGAGACAGCAGGTTCAAAAACGTCCATTCCAAAGCCTTCCAGAATGCTGGAGCAGAGCTGGAATTAGGACCTGTACAGCCTCCAATCTAGGGCTCTTGTAGAATGCTGTGCAGAGTTGCAAAGTTGAGAAACGAGCCAGTTTGAAGAAAAAAATTGCTGGTTCCCAGCTTGACTTTACAGAGCTCATGAGCAAAATAACAACAGAAAGGAGGGCACCCTCTGGGTGCAAGGTGAGAAGGGTAGATTTGGAACACTTAGCATAACTAGCAGGTGAAATCCCACTAGGCTGGAGGAAAGGCAGGTCTGAAGGGTGAAGTAGAGATCTGGGCTGGAGAGAGATCTGGAAGTCATTCTGAGGAAATGACATGTCATAGGTTAGCCCATTTAGTTACTTTTGTCAGGTTAGGTGATTTAAGTGAGCTTGTGCAAATTTAATTGATGCACTTATTTTTGTAACCTTAGACAAGAAAATAAACTTACAATATTCAAGAAAAAAAAAGCAGAAAAAAAGGAGGGAGAGGGAGGACTAGAGGAAGGGATCATAAGCAGGTGACAGAGACCACAGTGTGTCCTGAGGGAGACCCACAAGGTCAGAGGCCCAGGCCAGTCCAAGAGAATGAGAAGCAAGAGGAAACCAGTGGACTCAGCATCAGTAGATTTGGAGGGGTGAACAGCCCAGGGCGGGTAAGGAAACAGGGCAAAAGTAGATCTTCAGACCTTTGCTTGTAAAAGTTCAGTTGTTAAATGCAGATGGAGGGCCCTCCCTGGTGGCGCAGCGGGTTAAAGCACAGCTCTAAGAATCTAAAGCCACTTCAGCATGAGTCTGATCCCCACCTGGAAGGTGACCCACATAGGGTGGAGTGGCAGACCTCTCCTGGTCTCCACCCCCACCCCCTGCTGCTCCCCTCAGCAGTGTACTTGGTGGATCAGCCTCTTCTGCTCCCTGCTGTCTCTGGTGAATCCTCTCACACACCCCCACCTCTGGCCTATACCCCAATTCTGTATGCACAAATAAATAAATCTTTAAAAAAAAAATAAAAAGCAGATGAAAGGAGGACCCTGGACTAGAGGGTCCCAGTCGAGGGATTCTGAAGATGTGCTCTTGTGGAATCAACAAAAGAAAGAGGTTGCAGCAGGGTTTATTCACCCCTGATATGGGATATTCAGACTGGATGGCATGCACGTCATATTTCTCAAGTTTAAAAATCCTTTCACACCTGAGACTGAGCAACAGACCCTGATCACAGAGAAAATGACATCTAACACTAACTCTTTGGGCAAAGAGAACATGATGGTTTTGAATTACTTGTTTATGAGTAGAAATTAAAGGGGAAAAAGAGAAATCCCATTTAAAAATACAACCATCCTGTAAAGTCAGTTAGTCTGATGTTATTTGTAATTAAATAAGAACTTCCAGTAAATTAAGTAAAATTACTATGGCGAGGAGGAAAGGGCTGGATTTCATTCTGCTCTTTTTCTTATCTTTAAAACCATTTTCCAGTGCTCTTTGTTGCTTTTTCTGCTTGGAAAATGAATCATTGTTCAATTTATCAAAACGGATGAGAGCAGTTGGCAAGGTTCCTCAAAAGATAAATTTAAACCTGTTAGTAGCAGGAGAGGCCAAGGAAGAACTTCATTTTGGAGAAACTGGTCCCAGAGTGCTGAGTCATGGACATAACTTGAGGCCCACTGGCCAGCCTGACTATGCTAAGCCCCTCCTGAATTTTACTCCTGCAAAGGCTCCTTCTATTTAGGACTCCTCCTTAATTTTTTGCCACTCTGTGCTCCAGTTCCCTACACAGACTGTTTGAGCTCCCCCCAAAGAACATGTGCTTCTGTTACAGAGTAGGGAGAGAGAGGCACCCCTGAACTCCCAAACCTGCCTGCTCTAAATAGGGTCTGCCATCAAGACAAATATAAGACTTTAACGAAAAGGAACTTTAATACAGTGAGTATACAACACAGAAGACAAAGAATATAGTTTCTAAATTAAACAACCAAAATTACCCATCCCCTCGTGGGTAAAAGTTCACCCCAAAGGGATTGGTCCAAAGCAAGGCCTGAAAGCCCACCACAAGCCTAAAGCACCTTCTGGCCAGCTCCCATAGAAGAGGATCAGAAATGGCCAGACAAGTCTGGGAGGAAAAGAACAACATCAAAATCAATATAAACACTGCCATAGTCACCTCCCCACAGGTCTCTCACCCACATCTGCCTTAACCAGTCCAGGGGCAAGAAACAAGCACGGTTTCTTCACCACATGCTCCCTGCTCCATGTGGCTTCCTCAGGTCTCCTGGCTCTCCATTCTGCATCCTCCCTCCTCAGATTCCTTCTCTTCTCTTCTCTGCTCAGCTCCACCCTCTTTTTGGGGTGGGGCAGGGAACCTGGAACTTCCCCTTTTCCTGGGGACCACCCTGTTACACTTTCACCTCCAGGCTTTGGCATAGGTATTGTTCTGAGGCCGCAGGCTCCCCACTACTCCACCCCTGCCATATTGAGCCATGCCTGGCCATCTTCTACAGGCCTTACAGTGCAGAAGTCACTTCCTCTCAGAAACATCTCGCACCAGCCCAACAATCTTCTTTGGAGTCTTGTAAGACTCCAAAGTCTTGTTCATGTATTACCCTCTATGGTAATCTCTCTCTTCTTGTCTTTTGCTCTCACTGGACTACCTCCCTTGGGTGAGAAACCACCTGGAGCATGTACTTGGCCATAGGGAAACAGTGGGAACAAGAAAGCCAGCTGCTGTCCTTATGTTGCTTAGGATCTCATACAGGAACTGTGTCCTCAGGGCTGGGAGCTTTTAAGGGTAGGTCTTGGCATGTTTCCTGCTCTATTCTGAGCTCCAAGCACAGGACCTCTTAATACCACTTGGGTGCCAGTAAACATTTTTTGAAGGATCAAGTGCAAAAAATGAAAGGTGATGGAGAAGATTCAGCTTCATATGTTTACTTCTCAGGCCACAATCAATCTCATAAGTAAGCATGACTGTTCTCAGAGCTGCTCATGAAGTCAGTTTTCTGGAAAGTTCCTCTAAGGAAGAAGTGAAGTATTGACCCACCCACGATCTCCAACCCCAGCTGCCAAGGACCTGCCCTGCGGTTGTGGCCAAAGTGTGTGATTCTCCTAAGGTTCTCAGTTTTTCCTTTAACAGGCTTCACTCACATCTACTTCCTGCTCCTTCAGTCTTGGTGTTTTTTTATAGCTCTCTGAGAAAATTAGCCTACCATCACACCTGGCTTGTATGGCAGATAAAAGTCAAATTCTAGCTCTAGGGAAAGATTCTGACCTTCCGTTTCCCAAATGCTACCGTACTCACATGTCCAAAAAATTGTTCCTGAGGGTCTGCTCATGCCAGGCACTAGGAGTAGAATGGGGAACAAAATATGTGTTCCTTTTCTTGTAAACTAGTTTACAGGAAAAGTAAACTGTAGCCATACACACGTAAAACCGCATGTTATAATAAGACTGTGAGGAAAACAAACTAGAAACAAATAAGGAGACCTCTTTGCTTCTCTGCCTGTGTTTTGGCCCCACAGGACCCTGAAGGACTCTTAATATCCTGAAAGAGCACAGGTCTTGGGGTCCATGTGTCTGGGTTCCACTCGAGCTCTGTTCCTTTCTGCTGAACTACTAAACTTCCTGCAAAATGGAGACAGTCACCACCAGAGGGCAGTAGTGAGGGCTGTCTTAAAGAGGTGTGGGACTCCCAGAACAGTCCAGAAAAGCTGAGACACTGAAGAAGGGGTCTCATGCTCCAGTTCTGCCCTGCCGGCTGCCCGCACCCCCCACCACCACGCCAGCCGGGCGGTGAGACCAGCTCCCCGCCACAGTTAGGACAGTGTAACTGATGTGTCTCCAACACCTCTTCTTAACCTAATTTCGAAGAGTTCCCAAAGCTTTAACAACTTTCACTATTCTCTCATTACAGGACTATAATGTGAATCAGCAGAGCTGAAAGAGCAAATAGTTCGGGATAACTGACTTGGGAATCTCTTCTATTCACAGGCTTTAAGGTTTGTGTCTTCGTGAGTGACTCCCAGACATCCATCAGCAGCCTGGTCAAGTGTCCTGGTTGCCTCTCACCTGGGGTAAGGTAAGCTGGCTGAAACTGAGATGGAATGTCATGGTTGGTGTATGTTAAGCTTCCATGAGAAGTATTTCTTGTCAGTGCAGGCTGACCTCAGTTTATATTTGTGATGTGGGCCAGGCCACTAGGTTGGTTTTTCTTCTGTAGGTCCTACTATACAAATTAACTATCTGTAGGACTACCACTCCACAATAAAAAAAAAAAAAAAAAAGAGAGAGATAGAGAATGAAGCACTACAACATGGATGAACCTGGCACTGGAACCTTGCTGTATGAGTATCTTATCGTTGAAATATTCCAGAATATTCAACTGAGATAAATTGGGAGAAAAGTGATCAGGGACTAAACAAGCTATGATGGATATTGTCAAATGTTTGCAGGGAAAGCTGAATTCA